CTACACTAAGTGTACAGGGTATGGAGCCCAGCACTGAAGGGTTAAATTTTCTCAAGGGTCTTCCTTATATAATGCCTCCTATTTTTTTTAATGAAAACTATAACAGATACAGAAAGCATAATAACACAGTCAAATAGAGCAAGATAGTCCATCTTTCATAGGCCCAAAGAGATGGAAGTGTGAAGGTGCTAATGTGGATGTGGTAGGACAGTCCAGCCAAACTTTGCAATGTATGCGGTGGTCACCAAACTGGTATGGGGTCTAGCGTTATCGTGTTGCATGCGAAAGGTTGCCTGCTTCTCTGGCCTGACTTGGGAAATGTGGACTTTCAGCTTAGTCAGTGTTGTCTTGTAGCATTCAGAATTGACAGTCTCACCAGGCTCCAGGAAATTCAAGGAAATCACACCCCGTCTATCCCAAAAGACCATGCACATCACTTTTCCTGCCGATGGCTGTCTTGAACTTCTTTTTTCTTGGGGAATCAAGATGTTGCCATTCCATGGACTGTCTTTTGGATTCCAGCTCATAGTGGTGACACCACACCAGCTTCCCCAACATCATTTCCAATGTATTACAGCCAATATTAAGCCATGCACACAGTTCCCTGGTCGTTATCCCCTGATCTGTATGGATGAGCTGATCGAGGTGCTGTTCATTGTGAGGAGTGGCAACTGAGCAGGGACACACACACGGTGTGGCTTGTCGTGCACTTCACTCTAGTCACTGTTGAAATGCAGTACCCACCGCCTCACTGTGCTGACAACCACTGTACCGTCTCTGTACACCTTTAGCAAGTGTCAATGAATGTCAATGGGTGCAATTTGTTCAGCAGTGAGAAATTCAATAACACATTGCTGTTTCGTACACACTTCTGTGTCAGACGCCATTTTGGTAGACTGCTCTGCTGCCGCTATCTTTCGCACGACAGCCAAACTAACAGTACATTGGCGGGAAGGTTCAACCTTTACTACAACACCACAAACATCCAGCTCAGACATTACATATTAACAAAAAAATAGGAGGCATTATATATGGAACGCCCTTCATACAAACCTGTATACACTCAACTCTCCATTATCCGGGATAATGGTGGGTATGGAAATCATGATTAATCGAAAACCTGGTTAAGACAAATTTTATTAAAAGTAGTACTGTAATACTGTACCTTCATAATACTATAGGCCTACCTGTATTTAAATTTATTTAACTTCATTTTTATGTCATCATGGCCTATTTAATACTTATTTTACATTACACTGAAGTATGAATTAGTTATTTCAATCACAGTGTTCAACAACATCCAACACTTTTTACGAATATTCACACTTAACACTTACAAAAATCTAATATTGTCGTTTGCTTTTTTTGCGGCATTTTCCTTTTTACAGATATCCGTATGAAGCCTACATAATATTAGCTTATCACTTAATATACTGTTCCCTTCACTCTCAAGATAGTCTAGTACGGATTCCAAATGATTAAGAGCAGCACCATGTGATATTTTCGTACTAGCAGCACTGTCCACCTCTTCCTCATTCTCACCTTCTTCCTGCTCTTCTGGCTACACTCACACTGAACTTAGGATTTCGTCACTGCTTAACATTTTGAAGCCCGGCTCACATGAGTCACAGTCAAACCACTCTTATATTTTCCTCGTTGACTTCTTCACCCCCATGAACTTGGTTAGCCAATTTTGTCAATTCTATGGCTATCTCATTTTCCCTGAAACCAGTGAATCCATGGATTTTGCCATCTTCATTAGTGATGAAAGGCATCAGTTTCTTCCATTAATTTTTCAATACAGATGGCTTTACTGTATCCCACACTGTTGAAATCACGTATATGGCATCTAACATTGAAAAACTTCCAGAAACTCATCAGATCATTGCCTTCATCGATGTACTTTTGTAGCAAATTTGATCTGTAGATTCTCTTCATACTTGAGATAACTCCTTGATCCATTGGTTGGATAAGTGTGGTAACATTATGAGGAAAATATTTCACAAAAATATTTCCATCATCTGACCTCAGGAGACTTTTGTTACGATGTGAGGGTGCATTGCCAATGAGGAGCACAGCTTTCTCAGATGGTCACGAACTTGAGGCACAAATTTAAAATCAAACCATTCTTTAAATATCGCTCCTTTCTATTTAAAATAATGGATAGGCAGACTTGAAGCTACTCTTCCTTTAAAAGAACATGGTCTCTTCGCTTTGCTGATAACTACTGGTATTAGTTTGTGTGTTCCTGATGCATTAGAACAGCACAAGGCTGTCAGTCTCTCCTTACTGGATTTGTGACCTGGAGCCTGTCTTTCATTTTGAAATACCAAAGTTCTGGTTGGCAAGCATTTCCAATAAAGGCCCGTTTCATTGGCATTATAGATTTGTTCTGACAGCAGATGTTCACTTTTCACGACGCTATCAAAATTGGTGCAAAATTGAACTGATGATGACAAGTCCCCTGACAATTTCTCGTATTCCATGATGCTGCTTGAAACGTGTTAGCCAACCGGAAGAAGCATCAAAACTTCCTTGTAGTTCAAGTGCTTCGGAAAAAAAATTTCGCTTCTTTAGCACAAACTGCTCCTGTTGTTGTTCCCTGTGGCCTTAGTTGATTAAACCAGATCAGCATTGCTTTGTCGAGATGATCATATGCTGATTTTTTCATGGTTTTTCTCTTCTTCATTCCGCTTGAATTTGAAGACAAAGCAAACGAAATTAATTGTTTTGTTTTTTTTTTTCAAATCACGAACAGTTTGTTCTCCAATACCGTATTGCATTGCTAATTGTTTAACTATACCTCTTTTTCCCCAACTGATTGATAATTTCAAGTTTCTGTTGAATACTTAACACAAAACGCTTCCTTTTACACCGTGACATTTTGCTAACACACTTGAAGATCGATACAAAGAGACTAACTGGGGCGGTGTATCTGTCCTTGAAACTTTCCACAAATCCTTGCATTGTGTTAGCATAATGGGACCAAAAAATGCAGAGCTCGGTTCACACTAGTGCGAAAATAGTGTTACAACTCACCATGTGAAACAAAAGTGAATGAATATTAAACAACATATAAGCCTCAAAAAAGCCCCGGTTTATCCGCCCGCAGATAATTGAGAGTTGAGTGTATAATGAAGACATTATAACAAAGGAAGTTCAGCTTCTTATAGTTATAAAATTGTAAACTTATATTGACATGTGTCTCAAAGACCAGGTATTTTGGCTTCCTGAAGGTTACTGTGTGCAGTTTTCACTGTATATGAATGTACAGATGCTTGTGTTGTTTTCTTGTGGTAAAGTTGTATATACAACTAGTGTATAATAATTAACTTCAGATAATTTCAGGGATCCTGCCTCTCATAGTTAACTATAAAAATATATTGTAACGTGTTTCGTTACTGAATACACCGTAGAGATCGTTAACTGGTTTATTGAACAATCTACAGGTAACGGCTACAGTTGCGGGGTTTCACACTTTATAACCCTAATCGCATTAATCTGTTACCACTGTTGCGGGGTTTCACTATTTATAACCCTATGCGCAAATCAGTTCACTCTGTCTTCAGTGGTCTACATGTTTACAGTAGGGGAGCTATGTATCACTGTATCACACACTCCCAATTACACAATTACACACACGTCCGGTTCTTCTTTCCGCGACGGCTGCTATACTCCAACAGTAGTCGGCTGACTGGAGAACTGTTGATAACACACTCGCTCGTAAGCTTGCTCGGAACTATCTTCAGCGATGGCCACGTTACAACTCAACTTGGCGACTGTTACGTTACAACTGACTCGCAGCCGCTGTGCTTGCCTGTTGCGTAATGAGTGCCACGTCATCCTGTTACGTCACTGCTGTTGACTTGCGTTGCATAGCTACCAGGTTGCGGGGGCTCGGCTCACTTCGGCTCCGCTCGTGAAGTCACTGCGGGGAGAGTGGCGGGGTGATGATTCGCCTATTACCATAGTAACGCGAGCGCTACGTTACCGCCACATACCGCTGGGGAGGTAGGGGTCAACATGTCACACTGCTCCCTCCTTAAGGCTCTTTGTCCCGAATAGCCTAACGGTGTATCCCCGTTCCTTTTCTTTGGAGGCTGTTCTTGCAGCATCTCCTGTTTCGGCTACTTCTCTCAGCGACTATTATCCGGCCGTTACAATATATTTAACTTCCACATAATCAGAAAAAGGTCATTTCATCATCACCTGTGCACTTTACTGTTTGCATGGAGTTACTTTGGATAGCCTAACTGTGAAGTTTAAGAATTGTTGAAAATTGTTGGAACCACACCCCGTGGAAGACCATAAAGTATAGTATTGCACAGAACCTTTTTTCCCTAAGACTGCATTTCACTGAGAATTGTATGTTCGGTTTCTTAGACATGAAACCAGTCATTTGGAAAATGTAATTTTCTGTGTTATTAATAAACATGCATGACATGGTTTATAACTTCCATGAGAAGGTTAGAACTGATTGGCACCCTCACACTACATGCACTTACACAATAAAACCTTGTAGAAATTATGTTATTTTGAACTGCATAGGTCCCCTATCTGATGGGAACTGAGGACCTTTCTCTATGGATCAAGGGGCTGGAGTGTATAGGTATCATTCACCTCCATCTGATGTAGTGTGTGGAGCCCTTTGTCACACCTGTCAACTTGTCCTTTTGCCTTTGATGTTGCCGCTCGATAATCAGCAGCTGAAACTCAGTGTCCTGCAGATTGGTGACTAAAAGAGATGTTCACGTCTGTGAAGTGGGTCATTTCTTTTTCTCTACTGCAGCTTCAAAGATTTTGGAGACATTTTCTTTAATGAAATTGAAAAAATGAGAGTGAGATGACAGATAAACATTTTGGTTCAGTTTCGCAAATTGCAATGTCAGTAACTGTGGCATTAATTTGGTGAATACTGACAGTCATTTTAAGAGTTTTGTTCATTTTGAATATATTTAAAAAGAAATGACATCCACACTGGCATAGCAGCTACATGCAACTACTTTTGACCATAAAGATACTTTATTTCTCAGTTGCACTCCATACAATTTCTTTTACACATAACACAGTATCACACCCAGACTTAGGTCACAATGTTCAATAAAAAAATTTAGGCAAAAATGTTGGTAGCTCTTCATTATGGAAAAAGTTTCATAATTTCACATTAACCAAAACTGTATGAAACTAATAAATGTATTTGGCTGCCATAACTACTAAATGCCTCTGGTTTTCAAAGTAATTTTCTTTATTATGGTCCTTCAGCATCACCTTTAGAAGTTTTGATCACTGTGTTTGAAAAAGTGATAAATTATAATTTCCCTACCAGTCTATAGGCAACTACAGTTAAAACAAAGACTTTGGAAGTACCAATACTGTCTACTGCAAATGCTAATATTGTTAACAGTAATCAGTAAAATTTGCATCACAGCGTCTATCTGGAGTACAGGAACATGGGATTAATTTTAACAGATGTTGTATATGAAAAATATATTACAGAAAAACAAATATTCTTGCATAATGGAAGTTCACAAAATAAAGCAATCTTGTATCATACTGGGAATATATTTATGCAATTAACATCCCAACATACTAGGCAAGTCTACGCTAACCTTTGCAAAACTGCAGCATTTAGGATCCCTGCTTCATCCAGTGTCTGATCATTATCACTTAATACTTTACTTGGAAAAGTTGTTAGCAGACTAAACGTTTGATGTTCATACTGTGGTCGGGCTCTGAAGAATCTCAGTTAAGGCCAATACAGACAGGTTTTTCTGTAAACATTTTTAGCATACTGAAAAAAAGTATTATATGTGCAAAACGTTTATAGCCTAAAATTTAACAAGTGGAAAGCGTGTTCTCCAATTTTGGAGCATCCACATATTAGATACGTTTTTTGTGATTCTGCGTACTTAACTGAACGTGATGTCCATTCATTGCACAAATAACTCAACTGTTTCAAAGATAATCATGCTACAGATATACTGCATACAATTAATTATTTACCTTTGTATTTTGTTAAATATATCATGTTGAAAGATTTATGAAATATGAGAGAAAGTCTTAACAGTCTCAGAACTGACAGAGAAGATGCTTGATTTTATTTAGCCATATACATGGAGGAACACACTTGATTCATACATTAAAAACATTCATGCTGGATATAATCTGTCATATACCAACGGAAGTATAATGCACATACTTAAACAGTAACATTTCAAATCAGAACTGCAAGCAATATGCACAAAAATACTTCATTCCATTCTTATGGCTAAAGATGTGGATAGATTAAGGCAAACACTTCTTGTGAGTGATGTTTCTGGATAGTGCTGAAGAATTCTTATGTCAAATTGTGATGAAGATGCAGATGCACTTATCTGCCGCATGCGATATATTTTAACAAGCTTGTGTAGTAAAGATAATCAACTGTGGGAAGAATTCATAAAGCCTTCTTTCTTACTGCATACAAGGTGTGGCAATAAAGAACCCGGATTACTTTTATGACTCATTTCCGGCCACGTCATTGACGAAGAGGAGGGTAGGGCATTGACCCTTGGACTTCCCTCTACCGTCACACAAAGTTTCATTCACGTGCATCGGTTAGTCTGGCCGCGACCATTGTTAGAAGCGGATCGTGTTTCTGAGCTCCGTCGGAATAATGCTGAGTGCTAATGCAGAACAACGTGCTAACATCAAATTCCTCACAAAACTTGGAAAATCTGCCACTGAAACTTACAATTTGTTGACAGAAGTATATGGTGATCAGTGTCTATCTCGCACGCAAGTTTTCGAGTGGTTTAAGAAGTTTATGGAGGGTAGGAAAAACGTCGGGAACGATCCAAAATCGGGCCGTCCTCCCACTGCGAAAACTCCAGAGAATGTGGAGAAGGTCGCTAGAATTGTTCGAAGAGATCGTCGACTGAGCATTCGAGCAATTTCTGAACTTACGAACATCAATAAGGAAAGTGTTAGACAGATTTTGCACGACGATCTGGGCATGAAAAAGGTGTGTGCTAAAGTGGTGCCAAAAATCCTTACCCCCCAGCAAAAGGAACATCGAGTGAATTGCTGTGTTGACACTCTTGAAAACATTGAAAATGATCCTGATTTCTTCCAAAACGTAATTACGTGTGACGAAACTTGGATTCTTCAATATGATCCAGAGACTAAGCGACAATCCATGCATTGGAAGAGCCCCAAATCCCCTAGGAAGAAGAAAGCGCGCATGAGCAAGTCCAAATTCAAAGCAATGATGATTGTTTTTTTCGATATCCGGGGGGTAATCTACATTGATTGGGTGCCTGAAGGTCAGACTGTCAATCAGGTTTATTATAAAAATGTTTTGACGTACCTCCGTGAACGTGTGCGACGAAGGAGACCAGACATGTGGAAGAATGCCTCATGGGTTCTTCATCACGACAACGCGCCAGCACACAACGCGCTATCTGTGAAGAGGTATTTGGCAAAAAACAACATTCCAGTGATGGAACATCCACCGTATTCTCCGGACCTAGCACCGTGCGACTTTTTTCTCTTCCCAAAAATCAAGTCTGCGCTGAAAGGGACCAGGTTCGAGTCCGTGGATGCAGTGAAAGCAAAAGCGACGCAACTCTTGAAGAGCATAACACAAGATGACCTGCAGCACTGCTTCCAACAGTGGAAAATTCGCATGGAGCGGTGTAGGGATCGGGGAGGGGACTACATTGAAGGGGATAACATTTCGACTGTCTGATTTTTTTTTAATAAAGGGTTAGAGCATGAATCCGGTTTCTTTATTGCCACACCTTGTAGACTTCCAAGGCTACAGATATTTTGTTGTTAACCCATGCTTCCACAATCATACCACCATCCTCCAGGCCATGGTCACTGCAAGCATATGTTTATGCAAAACATGAACTGCTTGGAGTGATTCCTGCCATAATTTATGGGTGATGCTGTGATCACGCCAGTGAAGGTAATTTTCAGTTAATCATAGACATGGAGTATCAGTAACAAATATGATTATTTTGGGGTGTGTAAAAGCAATGTTTAGTATAGCTATATCAAATAAGTGCAGGTTTGTTCCTGCCCAATCTGAAGAATTACTTTGATTTTATGTGACTTTATAAAGTGGTGAAGAAGGATACCGACAATATGCGCAGACCTACTTGTGTGTGTGTGTGTCTGTGTGTATTTCTGATAGTAAGTCTCCTATTTGCAATAGCAGACATGAAGCTGAGAATATAATGTAAAAGACACTATTGATGCTCATGGTGTGATGTCAGTTCAGTATGGGTACAGTATGTTTCACCCAGAATTTTGATTTATTGGTACTAAAAAGGTAAAGGTATCCCTGCAACAGGCCGTGAAGGCCCGTAGGATTGTGAGACATCAAGGCTTCCACGTTTTCTCTAGACGGTCAGCTCACAGATGGTGGTAAGGTTGTCAGCCGTATGCACCGGCTGCCCTTTACCCCCAGGAAGATTCCTGGTACTCATTTCTGTTAAGGGCTGAGTCAACCCCAGGGCCATAGTGCGGCTAGAAGGATTAGGTCGATTGAAAAATCCACCTCATTGGGACTCGAACCTGTGACTTTCTGGCTTGTAGCATAGTGCCTCAACCAACTACGCTACTGCGTGCCCCCAATTTATTGATACTAGAGTAAGCAAGGACTAACCTTTCCCGCTGTTTGTGAATGGTCTCTCTATAGCATACTGCAACAGGGACAAACACATCTCAGGATGAACATTTTATGCATATAAACTGTAATTAACTCAAGGTATAGTTTGGTCTTACAGATTCTGACTGGTCTGGCCCAAAACTTACTATACAAAGTTTCCTGGCTACAGACATTGGTGTCTGACTCTATCTTCAGTGCTGTAATGCCTAGAAAGAGATTTATGGCAGTAAGTAAAAATCTTTTCATCAACAGTAGAGCTTTGGGCCAGACTGACCCATTACAGGCAGTAAGTCCCACAGTTGATATTACAGTGTGTAGAAACATTACTATGCAATGACGGCGAGATAAGCAAATATCCCAGAGTCGTTTCTGTGGCAACAAACACCCATGCAATGATTGAGGTACTGTTGTAAACACTGTTTCGACTCTGTCCATGCAAAGGAGGAATAGCCAGTTAGGAGCCGTTACCAGGAAATGTCTATTAACAGTCTGAGAACACTAGATGGTGTACTCTAGGGAACTGTAAAGTGTGGATATTAGAGATAGTGTTATAGAAATGTGTAGTTACAACCTGTAAGTGGTCAGTAAATTGAGTCGCCAATCCAAACCCCATCTATAGTCACACTCACACTACATGACGAACTGGTGTCAGAAGTGGGACTGGATCTGAAACTGCATTGGATCCTCATATTGTCAGCCAACAACCATGGACTCCTGAAAGCCATGCAAGAAATGACGGAAACTCAGATGGGTTCCCTAACCTCCTGGATCGATGCCAGCCAAGAAAATATGGGTGCCAACCTAAAGGAGATCATAGCAGAAATGAGGGCCTGCCAAGAAACTATGGAGGCCTGTCTGGAGTAAGGAGCCAACCTCAGTGAAAATAAAGAGTCCATAGCGGTACATGAGGAGGTCCATAAAGAAGAGGCTGCAGTGAAAACTGTCAGAGCACTGAAAAAGCAGTATGGTGCTGCTGACAGCTGAAGAAACTGACCCAGGGTGATGGTGGGTCCTAAAAGAAGTGGCCACCTCATGCAGAGGAATGACCCACCATTCCATTTCTGCGCCATGTAAGGAACACGGTGATCAGGGTCCAGGCAAGGACAATGCTGAAAGAGGAGCCCCTAAATTATAGACACCTCAGAAGAGATGTCAGGCGCAACTTGAATGCAACAACGGCATAAGGCACTGAGGCCTAAAGGAGCAGCTATGTCTTGAAAGTGAGGACATCTGGCAAGATCTTAAGGAAGGCTCTCATGCTGGAGATCATGAAGCGAAGAGTCGAATCTTCTGTCAGGATTCGAAAAATGAGTGTCAGGACAGCGTGGAGGGGTTGACCCCTCCCAAAACTGAAGAGACCACTAACAACAGCTTAATAGCCATGGATGGAGGAGCACTGACCACTTTTGGAACTTTTCTCTGCACCAACCGAAAGAAGGCTCTTCATTGTCTGCATCCTGCTGTGTGTCATGATGTGGAAGGAAAGATGATGGCAGTAGACCTGGACTGACTGCCACCCTGTGAGGGAACCGCTTGGGACACATGGCCTTAAGGAGGGAGCAGTGTTATGCAATTTCAGCACAGGAGCGAAGACATTACAGATGACAAAAGAAGGCAGAGTAATGTGAGACCAGAGGTTCTGACAGCAGTTACTAAAAAGGTGACTGCCTTTTGGGACATGATGCTGTGTAGTCTGATACAAGTTTACTGATGTGTCAAGAGGACTGTCCACCCCTTATCTTCTGGGTAGAAGAGTAACATCATATTCTTCAACCCTGAAGAAAGAGGCAGCATGTTTCTTCAAAATGTCAGTACATGTCTATGAAACCTTATACACAGAGTAGTATTCTCTGGTTGGAGAGAGACATCAGATTATGTGTAAAAAGTCAGAAGACACTTTGAAGGTGACCCTCACACTCAGTAAGTTTTGTGACAGTATCTTTTTTAAAGAATGACTCCATTTATTAGATTATCATATGTCTATACTAATTTCTTACCACACATACTGTGCCCATTAAAAACGTAATTTTACACCCTTGATCACAGGAGACTTGTATAAAGGATACGTAGTTATGAATCTACGAACATCAGCAATTGTATGTGAATGGTTGAACTGTCCAAGTAGCCTGGAGCCATCTGCCAATCGGATCTGAACAGTTGTAACAGGTTGTGAACTGTCCAGTGATACTGAATTCTTTGCTTGTTCCTCATTTGCTGTTCTGTCTTTTTCATCCAATGGCATGGTAATACCAATGGTAGCAGGAGATGGGCTGTAACAAACAGAGAGATGAAGTGTCACATACTGAAGATAAATACAATATTCCTGCCTTGCACTCACTGAACAAGAGTGAGACTTTCAATTGTGTTACCCACACAGTTCCACGGATTTGTGACACTATCTACATTACCGCTTCATTCCAGGAAATGGACGCAGTACCTGAAAACATTCAGTACGTAGATGTGTTCAGGATGAATTTCCTGTTACATATGCAGTGATCTGGTAAAGCACATACACATGTAAATAATAATAATAAAGGAAAGTAATTATATGGTCCCCCCGATGGAATCTCTACTTTGACGTAGTGGAGGGGCTTGCGTGGCCAAATGACCCTGAGAGCTATGCCAGCGGTAGCATAGCTACTGGTAGGTTCACCCATGCCAGACAGGTCAAAGGTGATGACCCAGACTAAAAGAGATACCCTGGCCCTCCAGGTTGGGGGTTGGGTGAGAGGCTGACGACCTTCACCGTAAAAAAAATATTAATGTCTCGAAACCTGGAATCAAGCCTCCGAAACCTCAACAGAATGGAAGACAACTTTTGGCAAAGAATATGGACTACTCTCTAGGTACATGGAATGTGAAAACCCTCAATGAACCGGGTGCCATGAAATCGGTACTAGAACAAATAGATAAGTACAATATGAAAATCACAGCCATACAGGAAATTAGATGGCTGGGTAAAGGAATCATGGACTTAAAGAAACATACTATATGTTACAGTGGTAAAGCAGAAGGCAATAAGGAATTTGGTGTAGCCTTTGTAATGGAATGAGAATTTAAAAGTGCAATAATAGACTTTAAACTAATAAGTGAAAGAATTTGCACTTTGAGAATTAGAATGAAATTTTTTAATATGACGTTGATGAACGTGCATGCACCTACAGAAGAAAAAGAGGAGGAGGTCAAAGACTATTTCTATCAACAAATGGAAGAGACATATGATTCAATACCAAGTAATGACATAAAGATTATTTTAGGGGATCTTAATGCCAAAATAGGTAAAGAGAAGGAACCCAGAGGAGTAATTGGGTCAGAAAGTTTACATGATACAACCAACCATAATGGAATAAAATTAATAGACTTTGCAGAAAGTAAGTATCAGCTCTACATACTTCCCGCACAAAAATATACATAAAAGGACATGGGCAGCACCAGACGGGGTAACCTTCAATCAAATAGATCATGTCCTCATTGAGAAGCGATTTGCGATGAATATCCTGGACGTAAGAACATTAAGAGGGGCCAACTGTGATAGTGATCATTACTTAGTACAGGTTAAATATAGATGTAAAATAAGTTGTCAAAGATCTAAGCAGTATGAGAAATGTAAGAAATTTAATACTGACAAGATTACGGAGAGTGATAAGAGAGAAGCATTTCAAAATAAAAGAAATTAATGACAATAGAGCAAATAAAGAAGTAACGGTAGAAGGGATATGGGTAGATTTTAAAACCGCAATAGTTACAGAAGCTGAGAAGACTCTGGAATATCAAGAGAAACAGGATAATAGAGAATGGTTCGACGAGGAATGTAGGGAGAGTATAAACCTCAAGAATAAGAAATATATGGAAAGACCAACAAGAGCAAGGAATGAGACGTATAAAGAAGCAAGAAGGAAAGCAGACAAGATTTGCAGGAAAAAGAAATGAGCCTTTCTAAATGAGCAATTACTGCAACTGGAAGAAGACTTCAAAAATAACAAAATAAAAAATGCCTTTGGTCAAATCAAATATATGAAAGGTTTCAACCAAAAAGAGAATTTATCTGAGACAAAAAAGGGCTTCTAATAAATAATAAAACAGAGATAATGAATACATGGAAAGAATATTTTGAACAATTATTAAATCAAAATCAGAATATGGAAGATAACGAGGACAATGAAGAAGAAAATACAGATGATGGAGAAGGGGAAAAGGAAGAGATAATAGAGCCTCCAACAAAGGAAGAAGTGGAAGAAGCATTAAAGGAACAAAAACTAAATAAAGCACCAGGAGGAGATAACATACGGCAGAATTATTGAAGGCAGGACAAGAAGGAATAACAGCACTCCACAGAATTATAAATAAAGTGTGGGAAGAAGAAAAGATACCAGAAGATTGGGGAAAGAGCATTATATGTCCCACATTTAAAAAAGGGGATAAATTAACATGTAGTAACTATAGAAGTATATCATTACTATTGACAGCATATAAAATTTCAACAAGGATACTAAAAAAGAGACTGGATCCATATATAGAAAAAATAATAGGGGAATAACAATCAGGATTTCGACCCAATAGGTCAACAATAGACAATTTATTCACCCTGAGACAAATAACGGAGAAATGCTGGGAATTTAATATAGATATTTACCTATGCTTCACAGATTTTAAACAAGCATATGATACAATAATAAGGAAGAAATTAAGGATGATTATGTCCACTTTTGGTATTCCAACAAAACTAAGTAGAATAATTAACTTAACCATGACAGAAACAATCAATCAAGTTAAAATCCAGAACCAGTTAACAGAAGGCTTTAAGACAAATCAAGGATTAAAACAGGGTGATAGTTTGGCACCATCACTATTTAACTTGACATTGGAATATATAGTGAGGAAATGTAATGTAGACACAAGGAACACAATAGCATATAAACAAACGCAAATAATGGAATATGTGGATGATATTATAGTTTCGAGATCCCTAAGAGCAATGAAAGAGACATATAAAGAACTAAAAACCATAGCAAAAACAACTGGCTTAGAGGTGATTGTAAATAAAACCAAAATGCTGATACACTCCAGAAGGAATCCAAGGCAAACTGGAGAAATTAACATGGAAGGGGACAGGATAGAAATAGTAGAAGACTTCATATATTTAGGATCAAAATTCCGCAAAGATGGAGAGGAAAATCATGAAATGACAAGAAGAATAAAACTAGCAAATAATGCATATTTCTCGTTACTATCAGTTTTCAGATCAAAGGATATACACCGAGCGATTAAAATAAAAATATATAAAACAATGATAAGACCGGTGCTTTATTATGGATGTGAGGGTTGGACGCTAAACAAGAAACAGGAATCAGTCATCAATTCTTTCGAGAGGAAAATCCTAAGACGAATTTATGGACCAATATAAGAGAATGGGAATAAGATATAATAAAGAGTTATACAAATTATATGAGGAGCCAGAGATCTCAGTGACGATAAAGCTTAAAAGACTGCAATGGGCTGGGCATGTACAGAGAATGGATAAGGGGCATATCCCAAAGAAAATATTATACAGTACAATAGGTGGTAGGAGACATGTGGGGAAACCAAGAACTAGATGGACTGATGCGGTGGAAGAAGATACAAAGAAGTTAATGGGCGTAAGGAACTGGAAGAGAGCAGCGCAGGATAGAGAGGAATGGAGGGGCTTGATATGGGAGGCCAAGGCCCGACATCGGGCTGTTGCGCCATAGAAGAAGAAGAAGACTAGGAAGAATTATATGGTCCTTATACATATTTATAGTCGGTATAGCGACTGACTACAAGCTGGACGACTGAGGAGTTGGAGTTGGAGTCCTGACAGGGGCAAAATTTTTCTCCTCGCCACATCCTCCAGCCTGGCCTTGGGGCCCACACAGTCTCCTATCCAATGGGCATCAGGGACTCTTTCCCCAGAGGTAAAGTGGCTGGGGCATGAAGCTTACCGCTCACCTCAAACTAGTGCCAAGGTCAAAAAAGTGAATCTATACATTCACTCCCCCATATGCCCTTATGGTGTAGTGTCTAATTAGTTAAGTTAGTTATGTTATAGAAATGAGTGCTTGAAAATTACAGTAGAGACAAGATACTTTGAAATAAATGTCACAAATATGGCTGATGCTTTGGGTACATTATTTAACAAAAACACAATAACAGTGACTGGCTGTAACACAGATGGACAGAGCTGCAATATAACTGTAATATAATAAAATTTCACTGTAGCTAAAACCTGTTAACTGAATTATGTAAAACAGTGAGTGAGTGTAGTATCATGATGGGTGTACTTTGTTTGGACACTGTCCACTCTATGGACCTGTACCATGATAAGGAGGCAATGGTGACTTAGGGGCAAGAGGCTGACATGTGTAGAAACTGGGTCTGAGAGCAGCTGGAGCCAGTGTCATCTCTTTCTTCACACCTCACAAAGTGAAAACTTTCTGAATTTGAGTTACAGTATGCCATGTCCTTCGCTAACATTAAGTATGTAATGGTGGCAAAACTGAAATTCCACTCTGCTGAAGCTCACATCTTAAATAAGGAGTCTTTGCCACGCAAACAGAGGTCAAGTATTTAGATCAACCTTTATGTGTATTATTACTTTTTTAATTTGTAGGGTGGGGTGAGACTGAGTGCACTTGGAATGTTCCCCACTAATGGGCCTACTGCACCAGCCCCGGATGATGAAGAATGTGGAGCAGTTTGTGGAAAGAGAATTTCCAGGGGAAGCCAAAGTACTGAGAGATAACCTGCCCCAATGACACTCTGTCCACCACAAATCCCACTTGACCTGACCTGGGACTGAACCTGGGCCACTGCAGTGGGAAGCCGGAGTTTAACCACCTGAGCTATGGCACTGCCTACTTAAAGGTGTAAGTCACAATATGTCACACTTAAGCAGTCCTTAGTATTAGAGGGATTAAGTTCATGGGTTAGTTACTAAGATCATGTTGGGTAATGACTTCTCTTTAGTCTGTCTTGTATCCTCTTTGCTGCAGTGTTCAAGAAGATTCTATTTCATCGGACTGGTTCACTTTTGCTACAGTCAAATAAGCTCATTCATACAATAACAAAAAACAAACTCTGTGGCTTGGGACCGCAAACGAACTATACCAGACCGCCTCTGTGGTCGAGTGGTCAGAATTCCTGGCTACAGATCCTGAGGTCCCGGCGCTACCAGATTTAGTAGAAGTAGTGGGACTGGAACAGGGTCCACTCAGCCTCGTGATGATAATTGAGGAGCTATTTCAAGGAAATAGCGGCTCTGGTCTAGAAAAACGAAATTAATGGCCATGGGGGATTTGAAGCACTGACCACGCGACACCCTCTATCCACTAAAGTTGGCACTAGCTTTGCTGACAAGCGCCGGTCGCTCAGTCAGTCATGTATACAAGTTCATCATTATGCTTCTGTGGCTGTTCTAAGTTAACTGAACATATTCTGGCCACAGTAACATGTATTTGGATCCATCACCTCTTTTTCATTAACCTCTTGCTTGTATCATGGTATCCTTTAACACACATGAAATATATTGAGAGTAAAAATGTTTTAGAATCCTTTGATAAAATAGTGTTGGTTGTCAGTTTTAGAGATGACAGAAGTGAATCTAAGTACACACTATATGCAACTCTTAGGGTCGTGATCGATTAATGAATACATTACTGAAAATTACTGAACACTGGGAAGCCACCAGTGTTTATTACTGCAGCAGTGAAGAGAAAACACAGTTAACTAATATCATACCTTCCAAGCACATGTCCTTTCCCTGAGAATGCCTTTACTTTAGGTTTAAGAGGAACGTACTCTTCATGCCTATGATCTTCCATGTTGAGATGCACTTCACTGCCCCTTGCTTCTCTTACTAATTCCATAGGAACCTCCCTGCCATATAAAATCATAACACTTCTTTAGGCAAGCTTATATAACTGAAATTTCATTGGATTTTTGTGTAAGAGCAGACTGCACTGTAAACACTGTATCATCTAAGTAGTTGAGAAGGTATATCCTTTATCATACAGGAGGAATTAAATCCTCAGCAATACAGCATTGGTAGCTAAATTTTAATTTGGGGAGTTTTTAACTGGTAATGGTATTTGTAGTAAAAAAAGTTTATATCTTTAGAACTTCTGTTAAAATTTCCAGCTAGAAGTAAATACAAGAACATATATTGCCAAATTCTGTAACATTATTTAATATTATAAAATCTACTCCCCCCCCCAAAGTTTATGGATACCTGAAATAAAACAAAAAAATTGTGTATATAAATCCAAATGCAAAGCACTTTATTTCTCGAAATATATCCCTTCCTGTGTTGTTATGGACTTATGATGTAAAAGTTTCTTTGTACGGTAAATATGAGAAAACAGCATAATTTTATACTATGTGCACATAAATTTGGTAGTCATTCACTTCTTTTTGGTTGAGCGCACACATTGCAAGCATGATCCTGCAGCTGCATGATGGCTGACATGTCAAGTTTCGAGGCAGGTCATCTGACTGACTTGTGGGTTCTGTCTTTCTCTTGGGGTGAACTGAGGACAAGGCTCCCTTGCACTCACTTCCAACAGAATTTCAACCAAGATAAGACTAAATTTTTGCTCATCTATTTTGCTACATGATGATGGAATAATGCAGCTATTCAGCAATTAAATGCAACACATGAAAGAATATTTATTTCTGTCCACTTCCATGTTCCCTGACTAACTGAACAGATATGAGCTGTTCTATCCCTTTTGCCGACTGTAGTCTCCAACAACAATGGACTTTGAGCTTTCTCTTGTTCATCACTGAAGTTGCCTGCCTTTTCAAATCACTGCTGAGATTCTAGTGCCTTAGGCATCCCTTTATGGTGTCTTCTCACAGTTTCACAAAGTCCACGTAAAGTTCATGGTTTACCCCCTTCTACTCCCATAGTAACAATTTTCTATGCCACACATATATGTCATTATGTGTTGCATTCTGCATGTTCTTTGCCAAGTGATTATTTCCATACTCTAAGTATAGACAGTTATGTTACACTTGAAAAATCTCCCTTTCAAGAGAACAGTAAACTCACGCAGCGCTGAATCTTTACACAATGTGTAAAATTCAGTTCATCAAAGAGAAATCTAATTTTCCAAAGTCTGTCACAGTTTTATTTCCTTTAGTCACCTTCCCACTAGTGAAACAAGTCTAACAGGTGATTCCCTCCAAGTATAAACATGACAGAAAATGAAGATCACCATCTTTCTGGGATGTGACAATGTTTAGTCTGGTGGAAGTTTGTGGACATTTTGGAGACATGTGCCGCCTCCATCTTCAGGGTAGACTCCAAGTCACTGCTGTAGGAACCTCGAATTTCACATTAAGAAACATTCTTCTTCCGTTTCATACCAGTGCTGCTATCCCAGACCTGACAAGATATGACTGAACCTGATTCTTTCAGGTTAAGAATGACCCTGTTAAGAGTTGATGTTTATAAAAAAATTGCAAGCAGAAAACATTATGAAGTCTCTTTAGAGCAGTGGAGAAAACTGAAGTGTCATAACTGCTATACGCTGGCTCAAAATAAAGGGCTGGCCAGCTGACCACTGTTACACCATCACAGTAGTGAGGCATGCAACCAATATAGGTTAAATAAATTATGAGACAAACAGTACTTTATGAGAATTAAGGTGCCTGTATTCACTGCAGCGTCTTCTGGGTACTGCGCTACAATAAATGGTAGAAACTACAACTGTCTCCGAGGAGCATGTCACTCTGACGGAGGAGGTAATAAGTCCATCTGAACTGTCCGTAATCTTTACCAATTTGATATGGTGCTGTACCCAGAAGATTTTGCAGTATGTGGTAGGGGCTCCTATGTTCTACTACAAACAAAGAAAATGCATAATTTTTGGTCATTTGTCCTGGGGCAACAAGACAGATTAATTTGTTTACTGTGATTATAAAAGTCTGTTTCTGTCAGAAACTTGCCTTGAAGAGGCAGGGAGGGAGTGAGTTCCTTTGGAACACTGGTAAGATCTACCAAATTTAGAAATAGTTCAATATCCAGAAGATACCATTACTTTGATGCAGGCTAACAATTATGCTAACTTTCAACATTTTCACTATACAAATTACAGCAGAGGTCTCAAATGAAACGAAATGAACCACAAAGAAACATCTTAAAGTATACGATTCTCACCCTCTACGAACAGAATCTAGGAACTCTCTATTGGCTGGATCTGCATATTCCCTCACTGCTCCATCATTGATACTAAAACCTTCCTTCCAGAGCTTTAGAGTCACTTCTGTATGAGACTCACGTCTTGAACTTGAAGGAGGTCCAATCACTAAAAAATCATATGAACCAATGAGAATTCCTAGAACCAGCTGCACTCTCAAATTTATTTCATGAATTTCCTTAGGCTCTCCAGGCAAATGCTTAGAATATTTTAGCACAAGATGATTTCGCCATAAATTAGTACATCATGTTCCTTCTCACTGCAGTCACTACCAGTCTCATTTGGTGCAAGAAGTTTTAATCCTTTCAAATAATTAAATCATAATGATATCACAGTTCACATGCATATGCAATTTTAAAAATGGATTGTTGCTTAATATAAACAAATCATGTATTCAAATGTTCATCTTACTTACTGGGATAATGAACAACAATATTTATATAAACATGACTAACTAAAGCACTGAAACTCCTGTGAACACAGGAAAACATTCAACTCTAAATTTAAAGAGCACAAATAAATAATGTCCCATCCCATGATGCTGAAAATAAGTCATCACCTCTGCAGACTGTACTGATTACAAAAACACAACCCACACAAAGAAAACAAGAAAGACGAAAGATGGGAGAAAGTGCAACAGTAGATGTGACCTTTGTAAACCACAGAATTCTGTACTGTGAACTAGGAGTGTGGCTGTTATGTGCAGGTGGTGATTATATGCCTAAAAACAGTATTCTCAAAATAAAATACCCTGTTCTGGATACAGGTTGCATGCATGCACATATACGCCTAAATTTTTTATCCTTAATTTAATCTTATTATACATATGCAACATATGTATCACTAGTTAGTGCTGTTACAGTGTAGATCAGTGAATGCTATACTTGAACACACACAACAAACGTGTTATCCAATCAGTACAACAGTTGAACAATGCATAGAAATCACAATGTCAAAACTGTAATGGGAATTATGTAAAACATGCACATGCTAAAGGCTTGTGCTTTTCAAAGAATACATTAACATGGCACGTGAAGGTTCAAGGAATCAGTGTAGCGCACAAGCCATAAGCTCAATAAGCTCCAAAGAATGATCTTGGGTATTCTGTGAACATTATGAAGACAACCCTTTGCAAAAGTTAACTACTGCACCCGATTAAGAATTTCTGACATTTTACAGAAGCTTTACTGTTTCAAAGCTAGAAAAGGAATTCATGTGCACGAAGTGACAAGGTGACTCCACATTTAAAACCAGTCCATAATGTAGCATACATGTGTACATGTGTATAAGCAGGTTTGAACTTTTAATTTTGTGCATTGCAGGTGCATAGCAAACAGTGGGTGAGATGTCTGCATGTACCCGGCAGCTCCTAGTAAGTAGTTGGATGTACAACTTAAGTTATGTAAGCATTACAAAACCTTTAACTTCTTGGTTCAGATAATGCTAAAAATATTCAGAATGTTAAATCATTATTCTTTAAGCGACAACCATTTCTAAAAAGGATAAATATTGTGATACCTGCATTAATGTTTTTAAATCTTTGTGCCATACTATGATATACATTTTCCATCACATTCTCAACAACTTTAATAACATTCACTGCAATTATTATTCACATGCACAACGAGAAATCAAGAGATGGACTTGAACATATTTCAGCCATATTTGATGTTGCAAGTACCAGTGGAATGAGCATTTGTATGAATTTTATAAATTCTCTTTACATCAATGTTGTACTGTATGTGTGTGTGAATTCTTTTGAAACAAAACATACCTTCACTGTCATTATTAGACTGCCCCAGTCGATATCCAGTACCACTGAAACTGTTATATTTAGCTTGGCTGGGGTTTCGGGGATCCACCACTTCAGCACCTTGCCTGTATAAGACATCAACCTCATTAATTTATGACAAATTTTGAACTTCATTATGACATTAGTCTGTAACAGTCCTACAAACAAGAAAATTAAAGTTATTTTTGCATCCATCCTTCCAAGTACAGTACTCTACAACATGTAGTGATTACATAACAGGACCAATTCCTTAAACACGAATAAGGGAGAGGGGTGAAAATTGCTGTCTGCACATTTTTTATTTTCTCATTTTTTGCCACACCTTTTTAGTGCCAATTCACGCCGAATTTCTTCATTTTCCTATTTTTGGTCAAAATTAACCACTCAGTTTCTCTACTGATGTTTAGTTCTGCTACGTTTCAAACAGTCAGTTGATCATTTCTCACCATTTGTCATTTAGATCAATTCTTCAAGTCATAAGATGGCTGAACTTTCACCATTTGTAATTTCTTTCCTTCCATCTTGAAAATGCTTACCCTTCTCAACAATTTGTTTTGCACCCATGCTGATGTTATGTTTTGTGAATTATGTGGCATTTCCCCCCCCAAACTGCAGCTGATTCTCTGCTGAAACAATTTATCACCCATGTTCCTATCAGACAAAACCCTGTGCCAAGAGAAACTCTTACTTCAACCAAAGACAAAATAAATCTCACTGACTGTTTGATAGAGAACTACTGAATGACACAGTCATGTGATCCTACCCATGCCAACTCACCAATGTTGCTACTGCTGCTCAAAAGCATCAGTCTGGTTATTAATGTGTCAGATATTGCATGCGTTTTGTTTCTGTCTTAAAAACAATACTGAAAGGAATGAGATACAGTTATGATAAGAACTTTAAGAACTATGGCTTCAAATAACCTGAAAGTCAAGCATTTGTGAAGCCTCAATGATATTTAAAACAACTGTAAAAAAAGAAATGAAAGAAAAAAGGAAATAATGCATTGTGAGTACCTAAAAGCATGAATGAATGAATGAATGAATGGATGAATGTACAAGTGTGGACCTTCTTGGCCTTTGCACCGCGATGACGGTAATCTATTGTGCCTCCCCTTCTGATTATCCCCTCAACAATCCTGTGTGTCAAATGAAGCGTAAGATTTTGTACGTGGGGTCATCAAAATAGTCACTTGGTTCCATAAAATACTGACCCAAGTGACGCAATTTTAAATAAGCTAAGGCCTCACATTCACACAGGATGTGTGTGGCTGTTTCATTTTCTTCTTGACACCTCTCACAAGTGGGACTATTACTTAGTCCCAGTTTGAAGAGGTGTCCTTTAAGGTGACAGTGTCCTGTAAGTAGTCCCACCATCCATAATAGCTGGTTCCTGTTTAACTTCAACAGTTCCTTCACTCTTTTAGTAGAGGGTCCTCATATGGGTCCCTCTGCTTGCCTGAGTCCAGTCAAGGATCACCGGTATTTCTTGTGATTCATACTTGTCCAGTCCCTGATTGCCTTTCTGGTGACAGCTATAGAGATGCCACAGGCTGGTTCAGGTCCTATGAATGAATGTTCAGCTCCAATCTTGGCCAATTGGTCTGCTATTTCGTTTCCAGCAATACCCTCATGCCCTGGCACCCATCAGTTGTAGCCTGTTATGTTTGGCCAGTTCCATGAGAGTTTGGTGGCAATCCCAAACCAATTTTGAGTTAATCTGGTGTTTGTCAAGCGCATTAAGTGCAGCTTGGCTGTCAGATAGAATGTAGATGTTCCTATTTCTGTAGTTCCTATCTAGATTCTCCATAATACATGCCCACCTAAAAGCATTATAAATTATCAAGGAGGGCGAGGGGGGACTACAGTTTCCTGAGTCATAACACCATGTAGTTCGAAGGCAGTCCAACATTCTGGAGAAACATATCACCTCAATCTTTAGGTCAATGAGTAAGCCAAACAAGAAACAAAGAGAAATAGGTGGCAAGTTTTTGCTTCTGCCAGTTTCTTGCTTCACTTAATAGACCCTAATGAAGGAGGCAGTATGTTTCTCTGAAATGTTGAATGCTCTCTGAACTACACTGCATTATTACACAGAACATCATACTCTGGATAATCACTGCTGTGACAACCTCAGATCCAAGAGCAAGAATGTTATTGCCTAGCATATAATTTGTCTGTTACAGTTATTTTGAAGTTACGGTCATCTTTCTTTCAGTTCAGTGCAAGAGTTCAAAAGGTAAGCAAAAACTGTGATAAGTACATGAGAACTGGCATTTGCCCAGTAATCCAAATTCACTGTATTCTTCTGAGTACTGTGTCTATCAAAACAGTAAGAAGTACAGATGTTTCAGAGAAATTTGCTGCATATTTTGACCCTGAAGGAGTAAGCAGCAAGTTCATCTAAATTATGAGAATTCTTAGTATCTCCATATGATGCTATACTCAGGAATTTAAAATGAGCATGCATCCAGTAATTTCATGTTTCATCATATATAAAGAAAACAGATTACATTTTAGTAATGATTTTTCATTTCTTGCTTGTCCTGGACAAGGAGGACAGATGAATTTGTGGGAAACACCAACAGTGACTTGAGAGCTAGGCAATATCAGGCTAGGAACCAGCCAATGCTAAGCAATGGTTGGGTCCTAGCCTGTCAGTGTCTAGCTCTCGGTTCACTATACGTGGTTCCCACAAATTGTTAGTGTTCTGGAAAGTATCAAAGAAACATTTATTCTACAAGCATGTGCTTTGTTCAAAACAACTTACTCTTGCACAGACTTGAACATCTCAGCTACTATGTCCTTCTTCTTTTTCCCTGGACCAATGACCTGTTGTCCACTATGTTCTGAACCTCCTGCATAGAATGCTTGGCCTTCTTCCTCATCAGAGCTGCCATCATTTCTATTCAGTCCAGCCACAGTCCCAAACCTGCTGTAGGTCAGATGAAAATGTTACAGACAATTCTATATGTATAATACAAACTCTGTCGTAAATGCAACACTTTACTGTAGTTCTTGTTCCCCTTCTTTCACACTACATGTTTTGGCCGCAACTGGCCATCATCAGGTGTATTTTACTTCATGTAGCTGTCACACTGCACACAATATTAACATTTAAACTCCAGATTTCCAATTGTTCATTGCTCTGTCTTCAATCGGCACCCGATATTCCAGAACTCCCCTTGTTGGTTTTGTCAATTATGTTTAAAATCTTTATTAATATCGATTCGTCGATTGGTTTAAAATTTTAAGTTCACAATTTAGCTTTAATATTTAATATTTTAATTTAAATTTAAAATATTAAAGCTAAATTGTGAACTTAAAATTTTAAACCAATCGACGAGTCAATATTAATAAAGATTTCAAACACAATTGACAAAACTGACAAGGGGAGTTCTGGAATATCGGGTGCCGATTGAAGACAGAGCAATGAACAATTGGAAATCTGGAGTTTAAATGTTAATATTGAGTGCAGTGTGACAGCTACGTCAAGTAAAATACACCTGATGATGGCCAGTTGCGGCCAAAACATGTAGTGTAAAAGAAGGGAAACAAGAACTACAATAAAATGCTGCATTTACAACGGAGTTTGTATTATACATATTGAAGTGTGGAATGTAACAGGATGCTTACATCCTGTTACAGACAATATGGTTGGGTGAAGTGGCAGTAGAGGTGGAAGTGTGACTGTTCTAGCATTAATGACTTGACATTCATCCTTTATAAAATGAAGAGGTAAATAGTCAATATAGACCTTGATACCTGATACAAAGTCCTGTGGCCCGACTTTATGAGGTTGTCAGAAAGGTAATTTGGAGCAGAAACTGTAAATAAACAGTTGTCTGATTCACTACCATTCAAAAGGTATGGTGCTCCAAACTTCTAATCCTGTTTCTTTTGTATGTTTCTATGGTGGAGTCTTCATAATGCCATAAGATGTAGCTCATACTGCATTTGCTTATGGATCACATGTTTTCTGACAGCAAAATAAAATGACACAGTTTACTAATGTGGAATTTTCTGATATGCATTCTGTGTATGGCTTTTGTGATGGGGGTGCTAGAACTGCATTAGTATCCAGATGAGAGCCCAACAGACAAGTTCGCAAGGGTACACTGCACTGTGAGGGAAACAGGTGCATTCATGCCACCAGTACGCATTGGCCATGGAAGATGCAATATGCAGAATCAGGAGGAACTGACACTTGTCAGTTACATATGAAACAAATCTCTCTCTCTCTCACTCTCTCACTCAGAGGGCCATCTGGCATATACTGCATGATGAACATTTGCATCCTTTCCACGTACAGCTTGTACAGGGGCTACAGTCATGGGACAACAAACTTTTCCTCCATTTCTTGCAGTGACTTCTACACAACACTGCAGATGAAGCTGGCTTTTGTGGCATCTACTGTGGACTGCTGAGGCAATATTTACAAAGAGTGGAGTAAATAATCTCCAGAGCCTACACAAATGGTCACTGGAGAATCCTCATGCTAGTCAACAATCCTCATTTCAACAAAGATTTAGCATTAATGTTAGGGCCAGTCTCACAGACAGTCATCCAACTGGACTATACGTGATGGTGAATCACCTCAGTGGAATCCAACAAGCTGATTTCCTTGAAAGTGCACTTCCCCTTTTATTCAAGGATGTACCCCTTTATATGAGGGCAGGCAGTAGTGTAGCTGGTTGGGGCACTATGCTACAAGCCAGAAGGTCACAGGTTCAATTCCCAATGAGGTCACTGGAGTTTTCAATTGTCCTAATCCTTCCAGCTGTCCTAGGGCCCTGGGGTCAACTAAGCCTCTTCATGGGGCTACAGGGCAGCCAGTGTGTAAGGCTGACAACCCCACCACCATCTGTGCTGACTGTCTAGAAAATGCGGGAGCTTCAACATCTCACAACCCTATGGGCTTCCACAGTCTGCTGCATGGATAGCTTTACCTTTTTACCCCTTCATGTTCATGATGGCATGTGCTTTCAGCATGACAGTGCCCCTCCTAACTTTTCACATCAAGTATGTAATTAACTGAACAACCATTTTCCAGACACACAGAGCAGCAGTCACCTGGCATCCATGTTCTGATCTGAGCCCACTTGATTTTTTCTTATGGGGGATGCACCAAAGAAAACATTTATGCTTCAGAAGTACAAGAAGTGGTCAGACAGTTAGTTACGAGGTGTATAATCTTGAAACTGAAGGACTTACATTTATTATGGGTATGTTGGAGAGGTTTGTTAATTGCTACTGGTAACACTGCATACTAATTCACTTGCCATCTTTTGCTTCTTGTGTGTATAAGTCAGTAGATCATGGGTATGTGAGTGGAACAGTGATCGAAAAACAAAGTTAATGGTGTAATTTAATTTCTGAATACAAGAAATGTGTCAGAGGTAGAAAATCATTGCAGCTTGTTGAAGTTTATGGTGAAGATGTTATGAGTCAGCAGAGTGTTGTGAAATGATATATGGAATTTCAAGAGGGAAGAGTTATTACAGAGAACTGTGAAAGTAGCAGCAGAACAGCAGCAGCATGAGCTGTTAACAACAATGCACTTGTGGAAAATGACAATCCACAACAATGAATTATGATTAGTGAACTGCAACGTGACTTGAATCTGTTGCATGGAACACTCATGAACATCATTCAGAACTTCAGTTTAGCAAACTGCATGCTGGCTGTGAGCCTCAAGCACTAACGAAGACCACAAGGAACAATGACTGGCTTGTGCCCTATCATTTTTGCAGTGAAGTATGTCAGAAATCAAAACTACTCAAGCACATTACTACAGGATATAAGACATGGGCTCATCACCCCACACATACCCCAGAGACAAATGCATTATCATGGGCAGGAAATAGTCCTGTTTTCCACAATCAGAAGAGTACAAGATTATGGGGACCACTACCAAAATCATGGTTATGCTATTTTGCTGATAGACATGCTGCAACATGGTGACTTACATCACCAACATGTTTAGGCAGGGCCACTGAATGAGAAGGTTCTGGACTTCTCTGAAAAGTTGTTCTCCATCTGCATAACAATGCATGGAGCATCATGCATATAGCCCTGATTCGGGACCTAGCAATTACCATCATCTTTTGGCACTGAAGGAACGTCTTGAAGGCCATAGGTTTAAAAGTAATGACAACATGGAATCAGTAGCAAAACAACGGCTGAGCAAATGGGACATAAATTTCCATCAGGAGAAAACAGAAAAACTCATCCCACTATATAATAAGTGAATCAGTTTTTGTGGAAACTATTTCAGAAAATAGTAACAGTAGAAATATCCTCCATTTTTCATATCAGGGACTGCAATAAAAAAACTCTAACTCTATGCCTTGTATAATTACTTTGTGACCAACCCTGCCACAAGATCATCATGATCGGATCAATTGCAGCTTGGGAGCTGACACACATTAGAGGCCAACTTGGACAACTGGTTCATGTCAGGGGATTCCACTAGATGTCACTGTGAGGCATGCATGCCAACTAAGAGCAGTTCTTATAATGAATAAGTAGAACTGTGAACAAGTCCCCACTGCATGATCAGACATTTGTATCAAACCTAATACAGAATTCAAACTGAAAAGAGTTAATACTTTTGAATCTTTCTTTTTCATTTGTTATATTTAAAAGTAAAAATAAATGTCAAATGAAAATAACAATGAATACATGAAATGATATTATTTGATTTTCACAAAAAGGGGCTGAACGCCATAATTCAACAGGGCTGATGAATCAAACAAGATTTCTTTACATCTTCTGCTCTAAATTATCTCCCAACCCCTTAGAAGTTATGTCATAAGGTTTAATAGAAGTCATTATTACCAATGCATTGTTCACAATGGATTTAAAGGTACCACCTACTGCAACCTATCCTTTTACTGATCATTATGATCATTTGTTGACTAAAGATTGATTGCAATGACTGGTTACCTCTGAATTCAGTTTGACCATAGGACTTTGAATCATCTTGAATATATTTAATACTAACAAACATTACTAAATAAAAAGTAGGCAAAAACTCCATACATTAACTTTGGCACTAGGTGGAGGTTTCTTGTCAGGTTCACATTTTAAGACTTTTATCCCCAGTACACAATGGCTAGGATGCTGGTCTGACTATCATGGTGAAGAGAAAAATGTGTGCCCATCAGAAATTGTTGTTTAATCCACAGTCGGTCACTTTCCTAACTGAGCTAATTACTAAATACTGATGATAATATACCTTGAAGAGGACACACCTCCAGACTTTGGTTTTGGATCTGCTGCAGTTGGCCATACTGGGTGTTCTTCAGCAAGTTGTGATTCTTCCTGTTCCTCAATTGGATTATGTTCACCATCATTTTCATAAAAGCTAGCTAAAGCCACCTATGAAAATGAATGCCTAAAATTAACTATAAATAAACTTTACAAGCATGATTTCAGAAACTTGGGAGGTAAGGGGGCTGAAGCTGCAAATGTATCATCAAATATCAACTTTTTTATGGCCAGCAAACAACAACTGGAAAGACAGAAACAAAATAAATAAATAAAATAAAATAAAATTACATGTAAGATAATGCACACTAATTTGAAAGCTGAACATTTGGTATCCTCTTAAATATAATTCTGTGTGAACATACACAAGAACCATTAACAGCATATTCAAATTTCAGGAGCTCAATCATGGAACTATTACACAATACAAGTCTGAAAAATTGCTGTTACAATTGGCACTGCAATTTTATTGCAGTCAAGCCCTTATATTAATATTAGGCAATGTTTAAAAATCTTACAAGCAAATATGATTTTATCACATGTGAACAATTCGGTTTCAAGTATCCCCTCTACCAGTTCATGCAATAAATACTGTCAACAAAATTGGCTAACAGGGGTCATTTACTGAATTAAAATAAGTCAGTACGCCAGACATGTGTTAGATAGCTTGTATACAGAAGTTGTCGCCCTGTTTTATTAAACACTACCCTGGATGGGGGTGAGTGGTCAGCCTTACGGCCTTGAGAAAGGGCCAAATACAATCTGGGAAGAGGAAAAAAACTCCAATCAGTTGGGGATCGAACCCTGGTCTTCCAACCCACTCCCTAGCCATCACACCATCTGAGCTAATAAGACTGCCTTGAAAGTCACTCTTGCAACTTTCATTTCTGAAGATTAGTACTTTGTACTTACCTCAAGCTGCCAAGCAGATGATTCAAGGTAGAATTTTGCTCTTTCTGCACCTATCCCCGTCACGTCCCTAAACTGGGATAACAATTCATCTTTATCTTCCATAATGCCAAAACAATTTATGACTACAAAGGCCGGTTCCCTTTGTGGCTATGTAATATGGGCTTTGATTCCAACCCCTATTTCGGCAATGAAAGCATACTTTTTCGTACTCAAACAGCGTGACCAAGGTTACAAACGCGAATTTCTCCTTGCATGTTGTTGCACAAATCGATACAGAGCAATAGAAAGATTAGGCGGGACAAATCAAAAGCAGTATTAATAGTACAGTAATGGTATAGTAATTTCTTATCTAAATTTTTCGAACATGTTCATATACGTAATAGTACGGATCAATATATCGTTAAGGGTGCGCAATTTATTGTTTAGATAAAGCAGTGAAGTGAGCTGAAATGAGGGGGTACATAAATTACAGGCGTTACCCGGGCATGGCTTATCATTCGATCAATCGACCAAAATGTGATCACAGTCGATCACGATATAATGTGGTTCAATAGCAACGGAAGTTCGATATGGGACCTATGGGACTACAAATGGAAGCCGTAATAATTGTGATAATAGATTATGACTTCAGACGAGTGAATCATTAGCGAGTTCAGGACGTACGCATTAGATGTTCACAATTTAAGTAACAAGTAATGAGTAACATCTACATACAAGAACCACCAACTAATGGGAAGGTATGTATAAAATAACTTCATGTTGGTGGAATATTTGTTTTAGGTTATGTGGAAACAATTTAAAGTTAGGACTTGGTTCCGCGTGTCATGTCCCATTATCTTAGAAGTGCTCCGCACGTTGGACCCAAGATCGCAACCAGTTTGTCATTGATCTTGCTTGAATGTAAGCAAATATATTATGCATAAGCAAGTTTATGCTGATTTATTATGCGTTCATATTTGGGGGTTTTTGGCTTCAATTCTTTACTCTTAAGTCTGTATCTGTAATGATATTTTCTGTGATAGGCTTTTGTCTGTGGACAGATTCTGGGATAGGACCTTAAATTATATCATGGTCCCTTTCTGTCACAATCGGTCAGTCTCCCATTCATCACCATGTGTTCCATACTAAGTAATTCCGTGGAGCAAAGTTCGTGAGAAGCTAGTAATATGCAGTTGTGAAACATATGAGTAATCAAATGAACTGACAAGGAAGAAACAAGAAACAAATTGATTTTTTGTTTACAGGTGTTGCTGAAAACAACAGTTGGTGACATAGAATTAGAACTATGGTCAAAGGAAACACCTAAAGCATGCCGGAATTTTGTGCAGTTATGCATGGAGGGGTACTACAATGGCACATTATTCCACAGGGTTGTGAAGGGTTTCATTGTCCAGGGTGGAGACCCGACTGGCACTGGCACAGGAGGAGAATCTGTTTATGGACATCCATTCAAGGTTTTAATTAAATAGTTTTAGTTGCAAACTAGTGGGCACACACACTCTTCTAATGCCGATCCTAAGTGCATGAAAGAAAAGTGATAAACAGCAGTCACATGTGTGAACAGAAAACAGATCAAACTAAGATCATGTGGTGATAATGACATTTTTTTAGTGAAATTGATGGTGTGTAACATATCAACACCAGTGAATTAAAATACCCTATTTTCAGATGATGCAAATGTAAAGAATGTGTATATGTATCTGTCATTTTGGAGCTAACTCCCGAGCGTACTTGGCAGTTTTAAACACCCTGAATGGTGCCATGACCCAGTGGCTGAACTGTTTTTCCTCAGGAGCACTGACATAAATGTGAAAAAAGACAACTTATGCTAATTTGTGTACATTGTATTTTTCAGTATTTTAAAACGTTGGCTTGTTAAACTTGTTGGGTATTGATTTCTGTGATGCAGTTATTTGAGAGGTGTCTGAAAATCATTTTGCCACTCAGGCAGGAGAGAAGAGTACTCCTCACATGAACACAGGCAGATTAGCATGTTACAGTGTCCCTTTATTGTCACCTTAAAATCTATTGAATAGCTACTTGTGAAGCATGCATATGTGTAATGTGCCGACCAACTTCTGCTGTAAAGTGTTAAGCATTTGTGAGTCTTACGTATTCGAGCTCTGATCAAGAAAAGAATTATCTGAGTGGTAATTCAGACATTGATTTTTCAGTCTTGAAGTTTGATAACTTTCGTTTTGTGCAGTAGTGCACAAACTGCTTTATGCATTGGAATCATAATGATTGGCAACACTAACGTGAATCAACTTGTGACCCGAATTTGTCTCTCATTCACTCTTTCTTCCGACAGTGCGTCATTCTCTGTTTCTGTATGGGGAATGAGGTATTAGAAGACATAAGTAGTAAACTTCGTGTGTTTTGAATGTGTAGCTGATGTTATAGGCATAAATAATGATTACAACAAAGAAGTTGACCTTGTAAAGGAATTATCTTTCTTGTCTTGTTCTCAAAACTTTTAAAAATTCTCATCTTGCTATCAACTAACTGAAGAAAGTCATTTCTGTGTATGCTTATCTTATATATTTCAGTTTCAGGAGTTTTGCGGTAGTTAATTCTGACTCTTTGTAACCTGATGTGTCATGCAACATGTCTGAGAAATTTTTGAGAAGGTTGTTCAAGCCTAGCACTATTTTCTCCCCAGTACTTGGCATTTTGATTTGATTCTTCTGTTGTCCAATGATGGCTCTTTCTTTATGTATGATAATATGTATAGTTCTATTAGGAACTGTGACATCTTGAAATTTATGTCAAACTGCTCTTTGCTTTTCTTACACAATCTCTATTCATACAGGTATTGTACATGAACAGTTATTCCAATATGGAACTGACATGTGGCATTTTGGTAGAAGAAGTGCAACTGGTTGGATATCTAATATAGTAGCAGGGGCTTGAGATCGAGGTTGGCTGGCACATAACACACAAACTTGAGTAACAGTAGTAATTCCGTGATTAATTGGAATGATATTGTAGAGCAGTGTTTCCCAACCTTTTTGATGCCGTGGACCCCCTGTACCAAATGTTAATTCACCGTGGCTCCCATAAAACCCAAAATGGAAATTTTTTATATTTTACATATCATAAAAGTGGAGCACTAACTTACAATTTTACAACTCTAAATGTGTCATTTATGACAATAAAATACTGTTATAAATGAAGCTTATTTGGAAGATTACGAACATATCAATTAGGCTTAATATTATGAATTTAACACACACCTAATATGATGACTGGTGCTGTTTTTCAGACATCAACTTTCACATGTCAGGATCAAAACTGGATAATTTCAGAAGTAGATCTGGCTCCATGTTTAGTCTGTTCCTATATCTGTTTTACATGTGTACAAGATGATAAAATGTTGTCTCGCACAGATATGTAGTGGAAAATGGCAACAGATGTCTTACAGGGTAAACAGACTTTGCTTGGAACCAAAACTCCAGTAAGAGTAACAAAGGAAACAGCATTTTGAACGTTGCATCACAGGACAGCTCGATAAGTTGCTCTCCCTCGGCAGAAGGAAGTTCAAAACAGAATCCAGAAAGGGATTTTTCATCCAGTCCATATTTTCAGGACAAAGCGGAAAATACAGACGTAGTTGAGACTCCAGTGACCTCATATGTTCAATCATACTTTCAGCAACATCACTAGAAAGGGGTTGTTCACTAAAATCAATTAAATCACTCAGCATGTGAAAGGAATCATGTTTTTCTTTCTCTATACAGTTGCACCACAAATTTAACTTCTTGATTGTTACCTCAATCTTGTCCTGCATAGAAAACATGGTGATCAATGTACATTGAAGGCTTGAATTAAGAGTATTCAAGTTGTTAAAAATGTCCGCCAAGTAAGCAAGAGAGGAGAACCATGCGAAATCATTTAAATAGTGTGTTAACTGAAATTTTGAGTTTAGGAGAAACAACCAATACATCGTCACAAAGCTCAAACAACTGCATCAAAACCTTACCCCGGGACAGCCATCAGATTTCTGAGTGCAATAATAAGTGTTCGTGATCACTTCCCATTTCATTAAAAGCACAGAAAATAATCGGCTGTTAAGAGGATGGGCTTTAATAAAATTGACAATTTTTACTGCCTCGTCTAGAACGATTTTCATTTTGGAGGGCATACGGCGTGCAGCTAATACTTCGCGGTGTATGCAACAATGTGTCCATTTAACAAGAGGTGCGACTTTCTGGATACGTGCGACCAAACCTTTATGTGTTCCCAACATTGCCTGAGCACCATCTGTGCTGATACCTGTACATTTTTCCCAGTGAAGTGTATTTGTAGTTATGAAGTCATTGACAACTTTGAAAAGGGCTTCAGCAGTTGTATTAAGAGGTAACAATTCATAGAACAGAAAATCTTCACAAACTTTACTTTCGTGTTCATATCATACAAAAGCTACCAAATTAGCATTATTTGAAATATCGTGGCTTTCATCCAACTGCAATGCCAAATAGTCACTATGACGTAACCGTTCTAGCAAAATATCTTTCACATTTTGAGCCATCTCGTCGATTCTTCTTTTCACAGTATTGTCAGATAACGATATTAGAGACACCTCGTTGGCATGTTTTTCACTAAACAAGTTCTTTGTTATCGTTTTTGTAGCAGGCAAAATTAAATCTTCCCCGATTATATGGCGTCCATTTCTAGCAATCAAAAGGGTGACTTCGTAAGTGGCAAGAACAGCCTTTTCATTTTTCGTTCTACATACAATGTCCTTAACTATATTTTGTGAACCACAAAGTTGCAGTTTTTTATTTTGAAAATATTCTATTGGCTTATTAACTGATTCGCCATGTTTCGTTTCAAGGTGGTGTCTCAACTTTGACAGTTTCATAGATTCATTCGATAACACTTTGCAACAAAGAACACACTGTTGTCTGTCTTCGCCATCTTTATTCAGAACAGAAAATCCCATTTGCAAATAGTATGGACAATATTTGCGTGATTTTTTGAGGGAAGGAACTTTATCTGCACTAGTATTATTTTTGGCAGCACTAGATCCACTCAGATTATCATCTCTTATGTTTCAACGATCCACACTTTAACCATCGATCCATATCTAAATAAGATCGTGAACAAACTGAAAATCAGAAGTTTCATTGTGAACTCAATTATTTGAACAAGAGCAGAAAAACTGAATATTAAACCGAGAAAAACACACTTGTATAATATTATAAAAATTCACTGCACAAAAACTAAAGACACACAGGTTGTTCACTGTGCCACTGAAATGAATAGGAAACGTGGTCAATGGTCTCAGCTTTATTCCCAACCAAAGGGGGATGGATTTGGTGGGGAGGAGGGGGTGAATGGTCAGACAGCAGGTAAGAAGGACAGCAGTCCACCCTGAAACATGGGTCTGAGATGCAATGGACCGACCAAAAGAAAATGTCCTTGGAAAAAGCTACACAAATCGTTGGTTATTCACCTCTGCTTTACAAAAGGAAGAAGTAACGGTACCAACAGTCCCGTTAAATTTTACTTCAGCTATGGGCCTCAAGAGCCAGAGATATACATTGTAGGTGTGAGGAACATGATAAGATAAAGAAGAAAGTCGTCTTCTGGGTTTTGGCGCCGTGTATTCTTCGTTTTGGCCACCTGCTCTGAAGATGGAGGCGATACATTCCTCCGAAACGTCTGCCAAAACGAAGAATACACGGCGCCAAAACCCAGAAGACGACTTTCTTCATAGTCATCACCGTGAAAACCTCAAAACTTACATGATAAGCTAAAGTTTAATGAAAATAAACTATTCCGCGGACCCCTTCTGAATTACTTGCGGACCACAGGTTGGGAACCACTGCTGTAGAGAAATTGTAATGTATGTGGTATAGACTGTTGGTCTGTTAAGTCCACTAACAGGAGTCCCAGTTGATGCAAAGGTGTCAATCTCTCCCGCCTAAGCAGCCAAATGATTTTGGGGTTATTATCAAGACAGTTGCACTATAGTTGACCATCATTTTCAGACCTCTAACGTATTCGGTAATATTGAAATCTAGTTTTGCGTTTATTAAGTTAGGATGCTTCACATGCTTCTTGGAAGAGACACATTCGAGTGTTATGCTACAGGTTCAGATTGAGAGGAGGTTAGAGGAAGATAAATAAGCTGTTATAACTAGTGTTAATAATGCTTATTGCAGGATGAGTTTCATTCCCGCTTACGGTTTAACAGACGAGGTCTCCTGGCCATGGCAAACGCGGGACAGGATGACAATGCGTCACAGTTTTTCTTCACGCTGGGTCCAACTCCAGAGCTGCAGAACAAGCATACAATTTTTGGGAAAGTCACTGGTGAGACAATTTTCAACATGTTGAAACTGGAGGATGTGCTTGTTGATAAGGTTAGAATTAATTGAGTCTTGTGTGTGTGGAATGCCTTGCATTGACTTTTTATAGGTAAGAAATATGTAGTGATTTAATGTTTGCTGCTTAATTTTAAAGGAAGAAAAACCACTGTATCCACAGAAGATAATAAAAGTAGAAATTCTGTATAATCCTTTTCCTGATATTGTACCAAGGACACGCCCTGAAGCAAGAGAAGATAAAGTGGGGAAAAGCAAAAAGGAGAAGAAGGCTGGAGTCAAGTAAAGTTCTGTTAAATTTCTGTCAAATCTGTGTAGCTATAAATGTTTACAGAAGTCATAGTACAGCTCCAATATAAATCAAAATTTATTTAATAATTAAAACCAATATGTTTCAGCCAGAAAGGCACATTAAGGTAGGTACCAAAAAGCGATCAACTTTGGATAATATTTGGCGGTTTTATTTCTGCGCATTGCAAGCAGTGTTAACAGAATTTGTTACCTTGGAAATTAGTTTCCAGAATGTTGTTGGTAGTGTGAAGCAGCTGCAAGGTACATGGCAGTCTTTGTTTATGCTGTAATAGGTTTCCACCTGTCAGAAGTGCTAGACATCTGTTTCAAATATTAAGTTTTTTTTAAGTTCATATTTATGGATTTGTTAGTCCAACTGCTGCTTATGTACATAGTTATACACTCAGTTGTAGCAGAAGACATGAGAAGATGAATGAGAATACAGGTTAGATTTTGCCTTGAGTAGATTAATGAAAATTTAGCTCTGTGCAGCAGTAGGCAAATATATGTCAGAACTTTACATGAATATTTCATGCAGACTTTGAATAATATTCAAGTAAAGGTTCCTTCAGAAAATGGATACTGATATGATGAAAACAGTTCCCTTGTTTACCACAGAAAAAGGATAGGTGTTTAGCCCAAGACAGGATGTTTCTATATGTGCTGTGTTGAAATGGCACATATGAAACCTTATTAATGCAAATTCAAAATATTGTAACGTGTTTTGCTACTGAAGACGCCGTTCGGATTGTTAATTGGTTTATTTAACAACCTAAAAGTCTCAGCTACAATTAATTACAACAGTGTTACGGGTTTTCACACTTTACAAACCCTACACACAAATCTCTTCACACTGTCCTCAGTAGTCTACACGTATTCACAGTATGGGAGCTATACAAGTCTCTCTGTATTACACACTCCCAATTACACAATTACATATGCGTCCGGTTCTTCTTTCTGCTACAACTGCTACATTCCAACTGTCTTCGTAGGCAGTGTAGTTCTCTTACAAACCCTCAGCCGGACAACGGGAAACACCTCGCTTCCTTGTTGCCTAGTCGCTGTGTTTACAGGTGTTACTGGCAATGCTGTCGGGAGTTGTTTACAGCTGCATAGCAACTGCGGCATCCCTTGGTCATGTCACCGCTGGCGGGGGAGGGGAAGGAGTGGTGACTTGCCTGTTACCCTAGTAACAACAGCGCTCCGATGCTGCCACGTCACCACTGGGGAGGGAGGGTTTGTCCTCCATAGCGCAACGCGTCACAATATGTATTGTCATTATAGGTTTTGTTCAGTTCACTTATGTTTCATGGTTTTTAAAATATAACACTCTGAACCACCACACACATTTTCTTGACATTTTATAGAATTAGCACAACTACCATATACTTTTTTTACATTATACATGAAAATAATTGAATAATTGGATCTGGAAAATGACCATGTAAAGTTGAACCATGTAGTCAACTTATTATAATTATTCAGTAATATAATTAGTTAATGTATTAATTTGACCTTGCAACAGGCTGATCACTTGTCCAAGGAGTCCTACCATCTGTGAAAAATTATTATGGAACTGAATAAGAGGCCTGGGCCCTGAATGGGCTGGAAGAGCCATTGAAAGAAAAAGAAATTAATTTGTACTGTTGTTGTATGTGACTAATACTTACATATTGTAATCCATCAGGTACAGTCGTTATCTTGTAGTTACCATTTGATCCAGCATGCAGGTGTGGTGAACCTTATCCTTCCTGCTGCCAAATGTACATCAAAAGTTACTTTCCAATAATAAGTGGTGCCAGCTATTCTTGTTGCTGCAGTAAAACCCTGGTGAAATTAGTGACATATATATTGCAAACATTTTTACACAGTTCTTCTGTTCTTGACTTGTGATTGTTTAGAGAGAGCGAGAGAGACAGCACCCCCCCCCCTTTTTTTACTTTTGTGAAACTGTTCTGCAAATCATATGTTATGTATTTCTCAGATGCAGACAGTTGGTAGTAAGCAGTAGCAAAAAGAAGATAAATATTATGTCAGTTTTACTTTGAGTAACTGTATTTTTTTTTCCTTGAGGTGTAAGCATAATACAAAAGCAGATATGCATCTTACACAAAATAGCATGGTATGGTGAACTGTTGATTTAAGAGGTCCAGTTTCTTATTTATTCCATTTTTATTTTAATTTTTTGCATCCATTTGTTAAATAGCTGGTAATAGTAAAAATTTTAGTTGGTGACAGTGCACTTCTGTATTTATCCAAATATGAGACAAATCCAAAAATAAGGTGATACCTATTCTTGAAACTTGAATTCATGGAAAACCCTTTTTTTCTCTCCTTTAAATTTTTATACTGAATTACATTTCTCCAATCACTGTGTAGTTCTGAAGAACATAGTTTAATAACCAACACATTGCTTTCTGTGAGTAGTAACGCTGCTCACATTAAAAGTACACTCAACTCTCGATTATCCGGGATAATGGTGGGGATGGAAATCACGATTAATCGAAAACCTGGTTAAGACAAATTTTATTAGAAGTAGTACTGTAATACTGTACCTTCATAATACTATAGGCCTACCTGTATTTAAATTTATTCAACCTCATTTTTTATGTCATCTCATGGCCTATTTAATACTTTTTTTACGTTACACTGAAGTATGAATGAGTTATTTCAATCACAGTCTTCAACAACATTCAACACTTTTTGCGAATATTCACACTTAATACTTAAAAAAAATTAATATTGTCGTTTGCTTTTTCGCTGAATTTTCCTTTTTACGGATATCCGTACGAAGCCTACGTAATATTAGCTTGTCACTTAATAAACTGTTCTCGTCACTCTCAAGATAGCCTAGTAAGGATTCCAAATGATTAAGAGCAGTGCCATGTGATATTTTCTTACTAGCAGCACTGTCCACCTCTTCCTCATTCTCACTATCTTCCCACTCTTCTGGCTGCACCCCCACTGAACTTATGATTTCGTCATTGCTTAACATTTCGAAGCCTGGTTCACACGAGTTTCTCTTGAATACTTAACACAACACGATTCCTTTTACACCCTGACATTTTGTTAACACCCTTGAAGATCGATACAAAGAGACTAACTGGGGCGGCCTATCTGCCCTTGAAACTTTCCACAAATCCTTGCATTCTTTCACCCCTACCCTAGAACATTGCGTTAGCATAACGGGACCAAAAAATGCAGAGCTCGGTTCACACTAGTGCGAAAATAGTGTTACAGCTCACCATGTGAAACAAAAGTGAATGAATATTAAACAACATATAAGCCTCAAAAAAGCCCCGGTTTATCCGCCCCCGGATAATCGAGAGTTGAGTGTACTTTATATATGTGTAAATACGAGGGGGTACCCAAAAGAAACCGAACTTATTTTTTTTTAACTTATTCAAATTTTAAGCACAAACCTTCAATCCCCTTCAAAGTACTCTCCACTTACACTAATACACTTGTCTAGTCTTTTATTCCATTTTTCAAAACATTGTCTAAATTCATCTTTTGAGATGCTTGACAGCGCCTCCGTCGTTTTTTTCCTTCACCTCAGCAACATCAGCAAAACGCTGAAAAAAAGTTTTGATCATTTCGGGACTCTTCTTTCAAAGCACAGCATGCTTCCACGCGACCTTGTTTTTGTTCAGCAGTCAGCAGTCGTGGCACGAATTTCGCAGCCACCCTTTTCATTCCCAAATCTTCTGTCAAAATTCGCTGAACTGAGCTCCAAGTCACTCCCGACAGCTCCACAATTTCTTCAATGGTCCGTCGTCGATCTTCCTTGATGATTTCACGAATTTTTGAAACATTTTCATGTGTTCGGGCTGTGGAAGGATGACCAGAACGAGGTTTGGCATCAATTGACATTTCACCATGTTTGAAATGGGAAAACCACTCAAACATTTGAGTTTTCCCCATAGCATCATCCTTGTTTGCCGTTTTTAACATTTCAAGAGTTTCTGTTCCACTTTTCCCGAGCAAAAAGCAGAATTTCACCACCGCACGCTGTTCACGAAAATCAGCCATTGCAAAAACGACGATCACACAAAACAGTTGTCACTATAAACTCTGCCAAAACTAGTCCTTACCTTCTGAAGCAACAGTAGTCGGCTTATCGACTCAGGAATGTTAGCTCTATGCGCTCATAGTGGCAAAACGCGGTACTACAAAAGCTCTGCCCACAAAAAAATTAGTTTGGTTTCTTTTGGGTACCCCATCGTATGACATATAACCTATGCATTTAACAAAGCATTGTTCAATAAAGAAACAAAAACCTGCTTGATGGTGTGCTATGTTGTATCATGTCTATTCTGACAAACTACAAGGGCAGAAATATGTACTTCTTTTCTCTCTCTCTTAGAAATTTTAAGTTATTGTCTTTTGGCGAAGAAGCAGAGGAAGATGAAGAGGAAAGCAGTGTAGCAAGTAGGAAATATTCTGGGCGCAGCAAATCAACACATGATATTCTAAATGATCCCTGCCTCAGTGCAGTCCCAGCTGTTGAAACAGCAGAGAAAATGAAGGAAGGTTATAAGCGGGAATTAGATTTGAGTGACAGTGACCTTGCCCTTAGTGGGGATGAAGCTATGCTTGCAGGAAGCAACGGGACTCACAGAGAAAGGTAACTAACTGTTCATTGATGCCATGTCAGTATTTTCATGGCATCCAAGCAGCTGAAAGTATGTTATATTTGTTCAGTAGTAAGCCAAAAATTGTGCTCTTTCATTTGAATTCTCATTGTATTCACATCATATTGATACCTGAGTTGTCTGTTATCTAAATGCAGTTCCTTAATTGCAGTGATGAGGTAAGCAAAATAAAGAAGAAACTGAAAACTGATAGAGATACTGGCTTACAACCATCAGTTTCCAAGAAATCACAGGATGAAGAAAGAGAAAAGGAGGTTTCTGAAGGGAATAAGGGTCACAGTGAAATGAGACGAAGAGCGTAAGTATATTTTAAAATTACAGTGAAACCTCGATTCAGCGTTTTCGTTGGGGGTCCTGAAAAAAAAAAGATGGTTGCGGGAAAACGATAGATGCGGGGCCTATGTAAAATGAATGAAAACGGTCACTTTTGCCTATATGTATTAACTAAATCAAAAAACCTAAACCAGTGATAATATTTCCACTGTCAAGTCCAATTTGCATTACTTTTTAAAAAAGTCATTAATTTTAATTTGTTTAATAGCGCCTTTCCTTTTCAAGCTGAATAATAATCTTTCAATATTAACAATGTTCGCTTGGTCTCTTTTGGTGATGTGAGCATATATGAATGCTCTCACTGACTCAAATGCACGAAGTGCTTCCGTAAAACTGGGCACTGGTTTGGACTCTGCTTCATCGTCATCATCACCACCATCACCTTGCCCTTCCTCCACGCAACTTCCACTTTCCACCGCACCACACATTTCTTCAACACACAGCATGCCACATGTCGTGAGCTCTTGGTCCACAGACACGTAGGCGTCAAAGTCCACGCCGGTGGTGCTTGCCCCCAGCCGAACCCAGTCTTCAGCTTGCGTGACGTCATCCTCACCACTTCTGTCCACCTCTGTCACGTCTGACCCTTCCTGATTATTCACATAGCCACACTTCACATAAGAGTTCTGGATTGTGGACTGGGTCACTTGTTACCATGCCGAAACAATAAGGTGAATGGCGCACAGGATGTTGATCTTGCACTGGGCCTCTCCCTGCGTCCATCAAACATACAACCCTCTGTACTAGCTGCTTCCTGTACACCTGCTTGATGCACTTGATCATGCCCAAATCAAGAGGCTGTACAACACTGGTGCAATTCGGAGGGTAAAAAACCACCTGTACATTCGTCAAAGATGTATCTGGAAAGTGAGCTGCACAATTATCTATAAAGAGGAGGATTTTCCTGCCTAGTGCACCGAATGACGCATCAAGAGCATGCAGAATCTCTGATGTCATCCATGCTTTCGAGTTGGCATAGTAAGTCACAGGTAGCCTCTTTACATTTTTGAAGCACCGTGGTTTCGCATACTTTCCAATAACAGTGGGTACACGTTTGTCTGACCCATCGCTGTTTGTGCACAGCAGCACCATGAGTTGCTCCTTTGCACTTTTTCCTCCATGGCAGGCCTCTCCTTTCAATGCCAGCATTCAGTCGGGCAGGCAGTTGAAAAAGAGGCCCGTTTCATCTGCATTATATATGTCCCGAGCCTCGTAGCCCTCCAGCAGTTCCGGAAGTCTTTCGAACCAGAGGTCCGTGGCGTTGATGTCCACAGCAGCACTCTCCCTGGCCAGTTTCTTAAATACCAGGCCGTGGCGTTGCTTGAAGTGGGAGATCCAACCGTTTGAAGCTGAAAATTTCTCGATCCCCATTGTTGAAGCTATTTTGAGTGATTTCTCCCACAGGATGGGCCCATCCACAGCTATGCCTAATGCTCGGGCCTGCTGGTACCAGCCAAAGAGGACATTTTCCAGCTTGCTGTAGGTAGACTCCTTGCCCATATTCCTCTTCTTGGCTGACGTACCACGCTTTTCGGCCAGCTCTCTGATCTCCCTTTTTGTTTGCGATAATCGAATTTAGGGTTGATGGTGGCAGGCCTAGTCGCTTGGCTATGTCAGTCCTCTTCTCTGATGGGGTTTTTTCCACCTCTTCTGTAATGCACAGTCGTTCTTCTAAAGTCCGAACTTTTTCACAGGAAACGCCATATAGGAGAAAATTGTTGATGACGCTAACAATAATACGAAGCACGTCGAGGATCGAACACATGATGGACTGTATACTCAACCATGCGAAATCGCAAACTGAGTTGATTCACACGATTCACACTAACATACAGGAAAGTTTTCCTAGCTGGAAGGCTCTTGGCATCCCCTTATTGCTCACGCTCATTGTTTTGCAGGTAAGACACGCTCAAGGTCGCATACCACACATTTTGACGGTACTGCAACTTGCTACACCACACTTCAAAAACATCAACCACTTTTACTACTACCAGTGCTTACTAACATTTGCGTGGTGTTGCACTTTCTTAAAAACGATCAGTGCGGGATTAACATTCATGGGGACCAAGAATTCTGACCAATAGATGCAGGAAAACGATAAATCGAAGAACGATTGATGCGGGTTTTAATAGTTTAATAGTTTAAATAAGATTTGTTCAGGGACCACAGAAATTGTACGATGGATCCGGGAATGATAGATCGAGGTTTCACTGTATTTTCGTTTTTATTCATGTCCTGTTTTATAGGGCTGATGATTAACATGTGCAGTTGAATGTATATTTTTACATTATTTTCATTTTTATTTGTGTACTGTCTTGTAGGGTTGATGACTATGTCATTGTATGTCATAACATATGCCTTTGTATTTTATGCTGAAACTGGTGATGCTAGAACTTAAAATCCATTTAGATTTATAACAGAAAATCTACAAGCAGCCATGCATCCCTCCTAGTATCAGACATGATATTCTGTAGCACTGGATTTCCAACTGAACTGTTAAATCCACTGTCGTCTTTTAAGACAAAGTACTCCAGTCTCTCATGTCTATATTTAAACTGTCTCCTCTGTTTTTGTCTAGTAATAACTAGCGGTATTTTTTTTCCCATGTACAGTTGATAGCTACTTGCCAGACTAAGAAATTCCCTGCCTTCTGTAGGACCCAAAGGTTTATTATCATGTTCACAAAAGCCCACAGCTGGATCTATTCTGATCCATGTGAGTGGAGTCCATACCTTCACACTGTGGTCCTCTAACATCAAGCTTAATATTATTCTCCTGTCTGCGCCTTGGTCTCCAAAGTTGTCTCTTCGTCTGAGGTTTTCCAGACAAAATAATGTATATAGTTCTTACCTCATATACGAGTATGTGCTTGTCTCATCCTTCTTGATTTAATTGCGAAAAGTACAAATTATTGAGCTTCTCACTGTGTAATTTTTAACCGTCGTTAGCGCTTACGTTGGGCTTCACTTTCTCTCTCTAACTGCCCCTTCTTGCTCTCGTGTCGATCGATGCCCGCTGGTTCCTGGGTAGGTCACCTACCTTCATAGTGGTCACTACTGCTGCTGGGTGGTATCCACGGCTGAGTGGGTCTTGCCTGGCTCCTCCACTTTTATCCGCCGCTTCCTTGTTGCTGTCTGGTTCAGGGTGGGGCATGGGATTATTCTGAATTTGAATCGTTACGGGTGCCAGTGGACTTTGGTGCAATCCACGAATTTGGAATGGGGTAAACAAAATGGTGGGGGGACGTGGGTACGTGGGCGTTTGGAGTCTTGACTGCTCAGTTGGTAGAACAAGATTCTGTCTCAGGGCGACTTCTGGGCCTTGCTCACACAAGGAGATAGAGAACACTTGAAACACACACTTCACTGAACGCTGTTGCTCTTTTTGGCAGATGTGAACGAGAATTACCTATTACAAGGCTGTAGCACTGTTGAATTTGTGTACCGGACTTGGACAACACTGATTTAATGTCTGGGAGGTCCGAATGTTGCGATGCTACTGCTGTTACTCTCTACGATGACTGATCGCTCCAGAGGGGCAGAAGTCTTGTTGGTTCCAGAACACCTGGTTTCCTCTCTGAATTTTTATGATTGACTGCACCTAAAATTGGGGTGTTAGTCTCATTTACATTCCGCCAATCCCTAACGAGATACATGTAAATTTTGGCCTAAGTACTAGAAGGTCCCTCTGACAGCTCTCAAATAAATGAAGGTATCACCTGGCACGCCTCTCCGAAAATTATTGTGAGTCATATCTGTCAAGTCTCAAATATTCAAAGAAACACCACCAGTTTACATTCTGTAAGAGACTAAGTTTCATACTCATATAAAAATGAAGATAGATGTGTAGTTTTATATATTTTAACCTTTTGATTTTTTGATGTGATAAGGCAAAAGATTATGAAAGAAACTGTAAAAAGCATGTCCCAAATTTAATTTCTTAATTTCTTGGGAAATGACATTTCAGTTTATTATTGTAACTTTTAACACTTCGCGGACCAGTGATTTAAATATTTAAATCACCCTGGGGACCGGCGTTTTTAAACCTACTACCCTAACTTGTGCACTGTTCACTTTAAAAATTAATATAAAATCCCCTAATTAATTTTATGAACTAAAATTTTTGGAGAAGACTTGCCAGAGCTCCTAGAAGTGCTTCAGAGTGTGACATTTCTGGAAACATTCCCCTCTGTGAAGAGGCATGACCCAGAACTTGCAGATGTAGGAAGTCTTGCTTTGCTTCTTGTGCACAGCGCACACACGGCACTGCCTAGAAGGATACTTCCCTGTCGATTGTTCGCTCATCACAATTTTCACGAGGGTATGTTTCCGCATATCACCCAAGAGTCGCCCAGGGGGGTCCATATGAGGCCTCCATGGGGTGGGAGTAGATGGTCCCGGTCGTACTACGTCTGTGTCTGATGCAGGTTCTGCCGCCACCATGAGGTCTGTAGCCCAAGCTTTTGCCAGATTCGTGAGAAATGCCTTGTATTTCAAAGTTGAATTTGCGTTTAGCTCTTTGAAAACCAAAAATGAATTGAAAAGGACACAATTTATAAGCCACAAGGCAACTTTCTTCGTCCATTTTACTGTTTTCCTAGGAAGGAAATAATAGGCCAAGTATTGGTCGGCTCTGTCAACTCCCTTCATGAACATATTGTACTGAGAAATACAAAGAGGCTTCTTCACTTGCCCGTGTCGTCTTTGAACATCGAATATGCTCGAATTATGAATAGTGGAAATCATATTCACAATGCGAGTATCCCTCCAGGACTGAAGGAGAATGCCCCCCTTCCCCCTGAATGTGGTGTCACCACGTTTCAGGGATTTACATTCCTCTTTCAGATCTGGAGGAAGGCCTCTGTTCACCCTAATTGTACCACAAATACGTACTTTCCTTGAAAGTAGGTATTCTGCAGTTGCCACACTGTTATAAAAATTATCTTGATAAACATGATAATTTTGA